TCGTGATCGCGACCTCTCTGTCTTTATGGTATGCAAGAAAAATAGAGAGGATGCTATGAAAAAATTAAAAATTAAATAGTATCACAAATAATATGAACGAAACTGATTTATTGGATTAAGAAAGTTCAAAAAATTCTAAATCTATAGACTCTGATTTAGATTCCAATTTTTTTGAGGAAGGGGAAGCACAAAATTAGTAAAATAATAATCTGGATGCATAGGATGAAGATGGGACTAGAGTAATGATAGACCCACCTGAGGATGAGATTTTAAAAAAGAAGGAATATGATCTAAAACAAAATGAAAAAAAATCTCCTTTAAGCCAACATAAACAGATTATTAGTTTCAGAGAAAAATCTTCCAGTAAAATAATAGATGAGTAGAATTCATCTTTATTTCAATCTAATTAAGATTAAAAATAAATCACAAGCATTATTTTCAAGAACGATGAGTCAACTCAAGTTTCAATAAATAAACCACTAGATGGAAGTGAATAAGTCACTCCATTACCCTTAGTATAGAAAGGTGTTTACAGTTTAGAATCAGATATAAAACTAGGCTGGAGACCTAAAGAAATGACTAAACCTAAGTATGCATTTGAAGTACCCCCAGTGGTTGCATTTAGATATCCAGAAGATGATATTTTCTCATCAAAATAATAACTATAGTAGACAAATTTGAGGGAATAAAAAAAAAGAGGTTCATCAGCAATTATTCTTCCAAATTTAGTTACATAAGAGGCATCTAAAGAATCATACAAAAATTCAGAATAATTTTAATCATAAGAAACAAAGCAACCTAAGAACTAAAAGTAAATGACAATAGAAGACTATATTAAAAATATTATGTATTAAGGATTCAGACCTAGAGATTCCCTTGAAATTCATGAAAGTTTTAGGCAAAAATTCTACACATTTGATTTCCCTTAATATCAGAATTTAAAAAAGCCAAACGTTTAAGATATATCCTCCATGTTTAATAAAGACCTTAATACTGAAAAATCTCCTTTAAAGTTTGATTCATTCTTTGAGGCAGGTAATCTAGATAGGGTGGTAAAGGTCAACGACTTTTAGTATGATTTGTTCTTAAGACCTGACACAAATACAAATGGATATTGCAATTGGTTTTACTTTAAAGTCAATTTCAATCATGCATATTTCGATAATCAAAATAATGCAGGAGGTAGTGGTTCCACTCCTATAAATGGTGAGACTAACAAGTATTAGTATAGATTTAATATAGTAAATATGTACAAGAAATTTCAGCTTTTTTGTCGTGATCAGAAACCTTTAATTTAATCAAAGTAAAAATAGATTGAAAATCCAAAATTAAAAAGTTAATGGAGTAAAGATGGAGTGAGTAATGTAAAATATGGACCGAGCAAAGCTGTTCCTACTTTAGGGAGAAAGAAAAAATACTATTAATTGACCTTTACTTACTAGTTTGAGTATCCTTAAGATGAGGTTATGTTTGCTTATTCCTTACCTTACTCATATTCTCTACTTTAGTAGCATATTGAATAATATAAAGAAATTCAACGATAAGTTTACAAAAATGAAGATGCAATATTTGACTCAACGTTGCTCTGCAAATCACTTTCTGGTCTATCCATTCCCTTGATTACGATAACTGACTTCTAGGATAAAAAAGTGGACTAGAAAAAAATAATACTCATCTAAGGTAGGGTTCACCCAGGAGAAACTCATGCTTCTTGGATTGTTCATGGATTAATTCTATAATTATTAGCTAATGATAATTTAGCTAAATAGCTTAGAGGCAGATTTATTTTTAAGATAGTACCCATGATTAATCCAGATGGTGTAGTATTTGGGAATTACAGGACTTGCTTCCTGGGAAAAGATATGAATAGAATGTTTTTCGCTAATTAGGAAGATGCCTTGGATAAAATAGATGAAAGGCTTATACCAGAAATAGTTGCTATTAGAAAATTGGTTGCATATTGCTAAAGTTTAGATAAAGCAAAAGTATTAGGATTCTTTGATGTCCATTAACATTCAAAAAGAAAAAGCATCTTTCTCTATGGACCATAGTATCCTTTACATCATAGTTCTTATTCAGCTGTGAGAGTACTGCCTAGAATTTTAAGCTCTAATTCTGAAGAATTTAGGTTTTATTCCTGCCGATTCAGAAATGAAGATTATAAGGAAAACTGTGCCAGAATGTTTATTGAGAGAGAATTTAATATAACATTTAGTTATTGTATCGAGTGCTCGCAATAAGGATTTATGAATAGAAGCAGATAAATTGTAGATTTTAATGAGAAGAATCTAACAGAATTCGGTAAGACCTTAGCATTGTCACTCTTGCAGTTTGGAGTCTTGATTGAAAACTAAAACAAAATCGTTGAATAAAAGATATAGAGTAAAATGCTGAAGGAATAGTAAAAGATAGAATCTTTAAAGTAACTTCAGCTCAGAAGAAATGAAACTAGCAGATTAAAGCTTGAAGAAAAAAGATTTAAAGATAGAGAGAAGTAATTAGAATAGATGAACCATAGGGATAATATGCAAGGCTCATTTTCTTAATTCAAAAATAATGATCTTAGTTTTGATGGGATATAAAGACAGACTAATGGAGATATCATAGATCATAGAAGTCTGCAAAGAGCAGCCCCATTAACAAATAATCTGCTGATTGGAAGAGATATTAGTTAAATGAGTCTAAATGACTATATAAATTTAATGAACAATGACAACCCTTACAACGAAGAAATTAATGATTCAGACTTAGATAGTCTTGAGGATAAAGATTGCCCTTCAAGTGGATCAGAGTCTGATGATTAAGAATTTTCGAAAGAAATTTAAGAGTAACTTTATAGAGATATACTTAAAAAATTCGATATTACTTCCAAACCTCAATAACATGAATCTAGAAAACAATCAATAAGAATAACTCTTTAAACCCAGTAAGCAACAGATGAAGAAAATAACCCTCCTATCATAGATGATTCATTTCTATCTTCAAGATTCGATGAAAATCTTATTAAGCCTACTGCAATCATTACTAAGCCCCAAGTTATAATGTCTAAATTAACCTATCCTATGCAGTAGTATTTGAATCTTCCAAAAGCTTCGGTTTAAAATAACAATTATCTTTATTAATCAAATACATCATCTTTCAAAGAAATTCCAAATGGTATAGTATTGCCAGTCAAAGAGTATGACTTCGATTAGAAATCTCCTCCCAAATAGAACAGAAGAAAACTGCTATAATAATAACTCCAACAAAAGGTAAACTATTTCAGTCAAAGACAAAGTAAAAGCAATTTTAATGCTAAAAATTTGATTCAAAATCTCCAAGACTTAAATACTTAGTCTTTTCATAAGAAAAGTTAAGGGAGTTTATCAAATAACTAATCTTTAAGATAATTGCCAGTGAATAACTTTAATAACTAGAGTCTAAAAAATTTTCCTAATGATAATGAAAATAGCTATGATCAGTAGCCGTAACCAAGAACAACTGCTAAGGTCAAGATTAGAATAGTTTTCAATTCTCAACAGCCATAGCAGAGAAATAAGTCCTTAAACAACTCAGCCTCTCAATCGTATATATTAACAGCATAAAATTCTCCCAAAAATATAAATTAAGCAATTCATACCAAGATTAAACCTGATAGAAAGCGTAAAGAAAGATTGAATCAAAATAATTCCTATGTAGTTAAGCCTAAATAGCTTGAGGTTTTTAGTCTACAGGAATAAGATCCAGCATAAGCTCTTGAGGAAAAAGTCTAAGTAAGATTATTCAATGATTCTTTAATCAGAAACGACAAGCTAAAAGACGAATACTAGAAATTAAAAGATATCAGACAAAGAATAAAAAGAAAGCAAGAAATACTATCAAAAATAGGAGATAAACTTACTAATTATCAATCTCAATAGCCATCTCCATTGAGAGATGTAGTAGTATTTAATCACAAAGACTATATGGGATTTTTCCAGAAAAGTAGATATCAAGAAAGCACTAATATCAGAGGTGTTACCCCAAATAACCAGGTATTCTTTAAAAAAGAAAAATTACCTAAAAATGAGTTGAATTACATACAGCCATTGCCCAGATATAATTAGAAATTAGCAGATGGAGCATTGATATGCCAGCCTGAAAAAATAAATAGGGCAATTAGTTAATAGAGGATGAGAGATTAGATTTAATGAGAAATTGTACTCAATTTTCAAGGGATTAATTATCAAAGAATCAGATATTTTAATTTTACTCAATTTTGATTAAGTGATAATATGAATAAATCTATTTACCATACTTTGGATTATTTTTAGTTTCGGGGTTTTGGGGTTTTGGGGAGATCGGAAGAGCA